CCTCTTGGTGTCCATGCCAAAGGAGCTGGCTGTGTCTGAGAGTCCTTTCCTGTCACTTTCCGTCACAGCAGCTCTGATCTCCCCTCCGTTTTCTCCCCCCCCCAACATCTCTTCTGAAGATGATGTCATGTTCCAGCGCTGCCCAGCGACAGGCAGGGGACAGAGTAGATGGTGACATCCAGGGTAAAGAAGCCAGTTGGGGCCGAGAGTGATGACTTTTGAGAGGATGTCATTGAGATGCTGGGATCTTCAGTCTTCTAATGAGCTACAGTGATCTCATGAGAAAGAATGCGGTGGAGGGTAAAAATAAATCGGGCCCATAAATAAGCTGGGGGAGGGGTCTGGAAGCTGCTGAACAATGTTTCTATGAAGCACCTGCTCTTTATCACAGCCAGCCACTGGGGGGCGCCCACTGCTTCCCATCACCCCAGCGGGACCACCTTCCCCTTCCCTTTGCCCAGGCTGAGCTGAGTGAGGTGATGGAGCCCTTTTCTACTTCTTCCGTCCTGATGCTCCATTTTGTAATCCCTGGCATCTGCCCAGTCGCCTCGACTTTCCCATTCAAGAATCTTAGAGCTCGGGGTGTCTGTGCATGCCTGTAATCCAGTACTTGGGCAGGTGGCAAAGGCAAGACTTTGAATTTGAGGCCAACCTGGGCTACACAGTGAATTTCAGGATAAATGTGGAGAATGTGTCTCAAAAAAAAAAATCCCAAAAGGGAAGGAAAAAAATTATAGTTGGCCTTTTACATATATGTGCCTCAGAAAGAGGAGAGACCCTGTACCCCTCCTTTGGCTCTCTGGCTTTTCTAGTGCCAGACCCCTCCCCTAGCACGCCCAGCCCCTCCCCCACACTTGCTGAATTCCCTGCCTCTGCTGCTGTCTTCTCCATTCCCATATTCCTCCCGCCTAACCACCTAGCCGCAGCCAGATCCCTGAGTAGCATTGTTTTGGTCACTGGGCCTGGAGCCTGATGCCAGCGTACTGGACTCATCGATCACCCTGGCTTTTTTCCCTTAAACTGTGCGGTCTGGAGAGAGTCAGGGCAGCTAGGAGGCTGTGCTGGTGGCGGGATTGGCTCAGAGAGAATGGGGAGAACAGTAATCCCCCACCAGGAATGTCTCTCACTGGAAACGATACGCTTTCTCCAACATTGTCAGTTTCTCCCCTGTAGGGCAGGGTTTTGAGGTCAACACCCCCGGTTTACAGAGTGACCCCTGACTCATCCATCAGGAGAGGGCCTGCTTGGCTGAATGTCTGATTGATTGGGGGAGAAGCCGATTCAGCCCGAGTGAAGGTGACTTGGCCACAGTCTAACTTCAGGTGCCCTGGCTCTAAAAGATCGAGGTGCTGGGATGCAGCCCAGTTGGTAGAGTGCTTGCCTAGCGTGCGTGAAGTCCTGGTCTTGGTCTCCAGTTCCGCTTAAATCAGGCACGGTGGCTCATTCCTGTAATTCCAACACTCAGAAGCGAAGTGGAGAGGATTGAGGCTATCCTTGGCTACACAGGAAGTTTGAGCCCAGCTTCGGGTATCTGGAACTCTGTTGGGGTGGGGGAAGGGAATAGACATAGTGAAAGAGGATGAATGAATATAAACGATTCTCCTTTGATCATTCCTGAACTGGCTCCCTCTTCAGTCCAGGTTGGTCCTCCCTGCTCCACCAGGCCCTGTAAAAAGACATTCCATATATACCCAGTCGGACATCAGGTCCTGGGTTACTTCACTCTCTGAGCAAAGCCTCCGAAGTCCTCAAACTGATTCCATAGCCGTTCAAATCCCAGCCCTTCCTCCTCCCTGCCATCACCATCCTGGGAGAACTGGGTAGCTCCTAGGGCTCCCCATGGTCATCATCTGCCTTGGACCAGTGCACCATCTCCCCCATAGCAGAAATGCTGATGTCGTCCTAGGAGTGAGGAAGGAAGGCTGGTGTGGGGAGCAGGGGTGGAGGAGGAGAGCTTTTGGGGACAGAGTGAAGTCCATGTGTGTCCAGAGCCCTCTGGGGCACAGGGGGCCAGCAGGAGAAGAGGTGGTCTGGGTCCAGAGTTAGGGCTGGCAGCAAGGCCAGGCAAAGCACACATGGACAGAGGGAGAACTCAGAAGTGCCCAGTGCCCTAGCTGTGGAGGTCTTGCCTCCTGTCCTCAGTAGGGTGTGGCCCTCTAGGTGTCAGTGAGGGAGAGTGAAGGAAGGAGGGAGGTTGGGGTCTACACTTACAGAGTGCTCAGCCTGCTTCCCCATCCTACCTGGCCTCACTCACTGGTCACCCTGGCTCGCCACAGGGTCTGAAGCTGTCAGGAAAATGGCCTCTGTCCACCTAGCCTGACTCAGTCAGCAGACTTCTTCCCCAGTTTCTTCTGTTATCAGGGAGCTGTTTGCTTTGTATCAACTTAATATTGCTTCTGTTAACACAGCTTCACTTTGAACTTGACTGTATACACTTAAGAGGGAACTTATCTCATTACCACCCCAGGAACAAGATCTATAAAACCAGCGATTTGGCCTCCCCTCAGATTTTTTTCTAATTCTTATGAAAACAAAAGTGTAATCGATAAAGTATAAAACACTCAACTCCAGCTGAGGCAGAAAGATCATAGTTCAAGACCAGCCTGAGTTATATATCAAGACACAAAATAGTTAAGTGAATAAGCTATGTGTCATATGTGGGGCTGGAGACATGGTTCAGTGGTTAAGAGCATTGCCTGCTCTTCCAAAGGTCTTGAGTTCAATTCCCAGCAACCACATGGTGGCTCACAACCACCTGTAATGAGATCTGGTGTCCTCTTGAAGAAGAGACCTAATCAGTCCTCCTTATCAACTTAGACCATGAAACTCAACTTGGACAAGTTCAACAACAGAACTGCCATATATGGGCTGCCCCCCAAAATTAATATATACATGCAGACACACATGTATAGATAGATATAGGTATAATGTCTTCAAAGTCATCGCTGTGTGTTTGGACCTCACTTGGGGAGCCTCACAAAGGATAGCAACTGTGATGAATAAAGGGTGCCTGTGCCTGGAAGGTCAGAGATGGTGACTCAGACCCTGAGCTTTGTGGGGGATGGGACCAGACCGTAAAGATGGACGCCTACCTGATGTGTTGTATGCTCAGTGTTTGCTCTGCTCAGTACACAGTATCATCTGTCCGGGGAGGTATGGCAGTGCAAACCTAGTCACATTGGGGTCACACCAGGCCTCTGCTACTCCTGTAGCTTTAGACTTGTCATTGGGTTTCTCTGAAATGGGGACCACAATAATACCTACCAGACAGGAGTGTCGAGAGCCGTGTCAATGGTGGCGCCCTTGTAAGCCGATGATTTAAGTACCTATGGGAGGTGTTGTCCTTGTGGTTTAATGAGAGAGGCTGGGTTGTCTGGAGCTTTGAACCCCAGTTACACATGCCAGGGCTGCACTCTGGAAGAGTGTGTTGTCTGTGTTAGGGTGGCTCCCCCCAACCCCCTCTGTGTGTGTGTTGGTGGGTGGAATGTCCATATGCTGGTGGTGGTGGGAGGTTCTGTGTGTGTGCACGCATGTGCATATGTGTGTTGGCAGTGAGGTAGCTAGTCTTGAAATGTGGCTCGGCCTCTTCTTTCCTCCTGTGGTTGGATGTCAGGTACCTGGTGTGGCCCCGGTAGCAGTCCTGGTAAACAGTTGTGTGGAAGGAAGGTGGCTTTCGTGAACCTGGCTGAATCCCAGGATCCCCAACCTTAACCTTATCTCCTTTTTTTTAAAATTTTTTATTTTTTGTTTGTCGAGACAGAGTTTGGTACCTGTCCTGGAACTAGCTCTTGTAGACCTGGCTGGCCTCGAAACTCAGAGATCTGCCTGCCTCTGCCTCCTGAGTGCTGGGATTAAAGGTGTGCGCCACGACCACCCAGCCCCTTATCTCCTTTTGCCCCAGTCTGTTCTTCCAGACGTTCTGTAGTGGGACAGTTGCTGGTGTGCATGCAAGCCTAACTGGTGGGGCCTGACGCTCCAGTCCTGCTGAGGTCATGCTTAGGGGTTGCCACTCCATGGGCTGTAAGGCTTGGGTGGGAGGTATGGAGACCGCTGGCTCTCATGGGGTAAATTCTGGGGGACATGGCAGGTAGGCAGCTCTGTATTCCTTGTCTGGAACGTGACTGATGTGGATACCCGGCAGGGCCTGCTTTCCTTGGGGGTAAGGGTAGTGGGAAGCAGTGCCAGGCAGGAGAAGGAGGCTGAGGGAACTTGGGAGGGGGTTAAGAGTGTGGAGACCTCAACCCCCGGCCTCCCCCATCCACTTCTGTTTGTCCGTTGTGCGTCACTTCTGGGCCTAGAACTTGCATATGTGTTGGGAGGAGAGCTCGGAACAGAGAGGGGAGCGGGGAGCCGGCCTGTCTTGTCTGCCTGCTTTCTCTTAAGTTTGTCCCAGTCCATCTCTCTGTCTTCTCTGTGCCCAGCCTTTACTGTCTGTCCATCTGTCTGTCTCTGGGAAGGGAGGGAAAGGGAGTCTCTCTGCCCCAGATTCTGGGCCTCCATCCTTGGGAAGGAGCCCTGTGACTGACCTTTGTCCTCATCCCACCCTCATAATTCCTTGGTCCCTTTCTTAGATAACCCCCAGCCAGAGGCTACAGCCCTGATATGCAGGTTTGAGGAAGGCTCTCCTAGCTCCAGCTTCTCCTTAGAGAATGTTCTAGAGCACAGTGTGGCTCATTTCCCTATCTTTAGGAAGGGGACCGAGTATGTAGTTAAAGAAGTGGTCAGGACACCAACAATACCCCTCCCCTTTCCCTGTCCCTATGTCCATCAACTTCCTGTGCCTGTTCCAAAGCCCACCAAGCAACCTGCATCCAGGACCTGCTCCCTACCCCTAACTTGGAATTCTAGGTTCACCTCGTATACTCTCTGACCCTCTTCCCCTCCCAAAGGCCCCTCTGCCCTAGTCAGGCCCTGCCCTGCCCCACAGGGATCCTTGTGGGAGATGGGCAGCCCCTTGGCATGGCATTCTGGTGACCTTAGATCCTCTCCCCCTCTCACAGATCCGGAGCGGAGCAGCCCTCCCATGCTGTCTGCCGATGATGCCGAGTACCCTCGGGAATACCGGACCCTGGGGGGTGGGGGCAGCGGGGGCAGCGGGGGCCGGCGCTTCTCCAATGTGGGGCTGGTGCACACCTCTGAGCGGCGGCACACGGTGATTGCTGCCCAGAGCCTGGAGGCGCTCAGCGGGCTCCAGAAGGCGGATGCTGACCGCAAGCGAGATGCGTTCATGGACCATCTGAAGAGCAAGTACCCCCAGCATGCCCTGGCCCTGCGAGGTCAGCAGGACAGGATGCGGGAGCAGGTGAGTGTGAGCAGGGGCCGGGGTCTCTAGGTGATCACCCAGTATTTTATGGCTGGGCAGAGCTGTCATCCTGGAGTTGGGGAGTATTGTTCCCTGGGCCGTGGCCCTCTTTGGTCTTTCCTGGAGCCTGGGGGAGAAAGGAGTGGGGTTTAGTCTCCAGGTCCCTGCCATCTGCTTGACACATTGGAGCGTGGGTTTGGGCAGAATGTTGGAAGAAGGGCTGGAAGGTGTGTCTTGGAGGCCAAAGGAATGATTCTGAAGAAGAGAAGGGACGCTTTTGGTGCTGAGGGCACTGGGCCTGGACCCAGTGGGACAGTTGAAATGCTTAGCTATGGCACATCTCTCAGCTTGGGGGCTTCTGAAGGCTGGATCTAACCCCTCCCCAGTCCTAGCCTGAAGAGAACTCAGAACTGGGGACACTACCTCCTTTGAGAACACAGACTGGCCCTGTGACTGAGCTGGAAGCCTGTGTGTGCCTTGGCTCTCTCCTGCCCTCCCCCCCCCCCCCCCCCCCCCCCCCGCCCAGAAAGGCTTAGGGAGGGGCTGGGCCTCTGCCTCTGGCCCAGGACCTGCATGGGTGGGGCTTCTCCTCTCAGCCTTCCCCAGCCTGGACTCCTTCACATCCCTCTCCACCCAGACACTAGCTTTGCTCTGAATTCCTTCTCTCAGGACTAGCAGTCTATGTCTAGGCCTGCATTGGCAAGGGGACCATTATGGCTGCTGTGTCTCATCTCTGGGAATCCCAGCATTGTCCCCTCTGGGAGAAGGTACACAGGGGTCCACTCACCAGTGTCCTTCAGTCACGCTGAGAAGTGTTGGGCCACAGTTCCTTTTCCAGGTGCTACTCAGTGTGACTAGGGATCAGAGGAGGGACATGCCCCCCCCCTTATCACAGAGATCAAGGGCAAACTGTCATGTTTTGGGGGCCTTGCTTGTCCCTCAGAAGTCCTTTCTAGTTCAGTCTGGCTTTTGCATTTTCCTGGCTTCAGAGTCCCCCTGGGAGCAGGATTCAGGTTGGTGAGGATCAGGAGGAGTTTTAGACATTGTGTGAGGGTCCTGGTCAGTTGGGAGGGGGCTTAGGATGAGGGATTCCAGTTACAAGGCCTTATGGGAAGGCTACCTGGAGGAGGCAGTACCTACATGAAGCCTAGCAGGGCTAAGGTTTGAAGAGAGGAAGAGAATGCTGCATCCGCAGGGTGCTGGGGAAGCACATGAACCTGAGTCGATCTGGAGCAGGGCACAGAAGTCCCTCTGGATGGTACAGAGACTGGGGGTGTGTTCAGGGGGACATGTGGTGCCAGAGTGGGGTGGGCCAGCAGAGGACAGGAGAGTTATGTTTGTTATGTACAGTTATTGAATCTGGGAGTCGGGAGACTTGAGGCAGGGGAAGGAGGAAGTGAAGGAAAGGGTAGTTTGGACAGAGGGGCGGGGGGGGGGAACTAGGCAAGGGTTGTTGGTTGTCTAGAACTATAAAGGAATGACAGAAAAGAACACAGCTAAGGGCCAGTCTGGTAGCAGGGGGCTGTGGGTTTGATTCCCAGCACTGCACAAACTGGCTGTAGTGGTTGCTACAGGCCTGGAATCCCAGCACTCTAGATGGGGAGACAAGATAATCAAGTTCAAGGCCATCTTCAACTACCAACCTGGGCTACATGAAACCCGGTCTCAAAAACTGAAATTGAACTCTTGATTGACAGGGAAATAGATGTCAGTCTCTGGGAAGGAGACAGAAATGGGTGAGAATCGTAGGGGCGGGGTGGGAAGTTGGGAGGGGGCTTCCTAGGATGCCAGCTGGATCCCTTACATACATTTCCGTACTCCAAAGCACTGGCTTCAGGAGACCTGAGAGCAGCCAAGACAGAGACAGAAATGGGAGTGGGGCATGAAAGGGCCGTTAAAGCAGTATATGATGGTCAGAGACGGGGCTGTAGGACAAGTGGTGCCAATGCTTCAGAAGTCTTGGTGGGTCTGGGCAGGGGTAAGAAGAAGCAGCGGCCAGTTTCAATGGTTTGGAGACCAGGCATGGCGAGGAACTGGACACCCTAGTTACACACCTTTCTGGGAGGTTTAGCAGGAAAAGCTTCAAGAGGTACCGAGTCTAGCATGGAACACTTATGTGCATTGGTAGGTGGAGGCTGGTGAACCCTTAGCAAGTAATTAACAAGTACTTCTGGAGTGAATGGAAGCTCAGTCATGCTCAGGTTCATGCTTTTTGTCAGTCCTGCCCTCATCTGCCCCCTTAGAGGCTCAGTGGCAGGACCCAGGGCCCTTTTAGTTGAACAAAGTACCATAGCATGGTGCAGCAATGGTGTGAAGCTGGGCAAACATTTGGAGAAGGAGTGATTGGTTGACAGAGAGAAGTATCAGGGGCTAGAGGACCAGGGGCAGGAGGAAACAGTCTCAGAGGAGTCAAGTCTGGTGGCCTGGGTAGAAGGAAGTCACTTTTACAGAGATGGCACAGACAACAGGAATGAGGTCACTCCCGTCCAGCGATCCTATCATTGTGAGGTCCGAGGCGACCTCCTTGGGAAGGAGAGAAGGCAGATGTTCAAGGATTGTGCAGGGAGGCTTTGGGAACTGGAAATCAGGATTCTACCAAGTGGCGAAAGCCTGTCCTGTCAGAGGAAAGACAGACAAACCTGCAGATAAACTTGGGGCCCTCGTTAGAGTACCAGCCACTGTGAAGAGCCCATCTTCCCTGTGCCAGGGCTTACCCTGGGAACATCCATCCCACACTGTCCCATCCCAGCGGCTCCTGCCCGCTCCCCCTAATGGGGTGTCCCCTTGCTTCACACACACAGGTCGGCGGCTGGACCGTGGACCCTGTGTGCCTCCTCAGCTCCCTCTGTTCCCACCTTCACGGCGATTCCACCCCCTCCGGGGCTGGCCAGCCTGCCCAGGTGAGCCACCCATCTCCCTCCAAAATCCATGGCGGAGCTTGGCTTTAGGGAGACCCTTTTTTTGTAGGGGGGGAGATTGATAATTTTTATTTTGCACCGCTTCTCTTTTATGTATGAACCCTCCATTATCAGGAAACTTCCATGCCCCGTATCCACATCTCCCCTGACTGATTTCTTACCATCGCCTCCTCAAACCTATCCCTTTTGAGGGATAGTTATGCTTTAAAAACAAACAAACAGTTGTTTCTGTCCTTTAAACAAGAGGACCTACTCTTGTTCTTGGGCTTTTAGGAGCCTCTTATTATTCTCATCTTATTGCCCTTTCTGTGCCCGACTCTTCTGTTCCGAGTCGAGCCTGTCCCCCTTCTGACCACCAGGAAGTTCTGCGTGGTGCCTTTCTCTTACCCTTCATATAATTTTTAAAAAGAACTAGGGGTCTAGCCATTGCTTCTGAGCCTGTTTCCCCATTCCTCACTGAGCCTCATTTTCCCTGATAGGAGGATAGATTTTAGCATATGCTCCCAGCTCAGGCCTGGGCACTGCCAAGGGAGAAATAACAGGCATGGGGAGGGGGTCAGGGAGTTTTGAACTTGCTGGTTATGGTGTAGGTCGGAGGAGGGCAGCAGCTGCCAGTCTAGTTCTTCACGCACCAGAGTAGGCCAAAGCTTGGTTTTCCTGAGAAAAGTGAAATGAAAGGGTATTGTGACAGATGAGGATGCAGTGAGCCTCTAGAGCTGGGGCATCTGGACTGAAGGAGCATGTCTAGTAACAGCGTGGCACACTGGGCATCATTCTCAGGATATGGAGCCACTTCCTTCTGAGCTCTCAGCCTCGTTTTGTCTGGATTTGGGGAACAAGGGAGCAGGGGGCGTGCCTGGTATCGAGGCTGGATGATGACAGGCGGGAGAGAGATGTTCCGAGTGGCAGTGTGTGGCGGAGACCACACTCCGAGGGTTGGGACCGTGATGGTGATGGACTGCAGACAGGCACAGGATGGACAGGCAGGTCCTTGGTGCCTCAGGTCCTCAGGTGCCTCAGGAGTGTGCGTCAGGGATAGGGATGAGGTGAAGGGCAGGAACGAGGCTGGATTCGAGTGGGCTGAGTTGTGCCCCGTGGTGAAGTTCAGGTCTGTCTGCCTGTCTGGAATTCTGCTCTGAGGGAAGGAAGGAGAGTTTGTAGGGGACCTTTGTCCTAGAGCTCCACGATATGCACAGCGTCTTGTCATCTCTTGATAGAGCTCATCACACTCCTCCCCACCAGGGAGAAGTCTGAGCTTCATTTTTTTGTAAAGCTAAGGCACAGAGACACCCAGCAAAGGACCAGAATCACACACAGCAAGGCGGGATCAGAGGCCAACAAGGAAGCGTAGACATCTTAGGCCTTCCCGGACTCAGTCAGGGATTAAGTCATGGAAGGATTAAAGGGGCAAAAGGGCGCGGCTAAGAGGAGGCTAAGGGCCAGGAAGGTGGGGGTAACTAAGACCTTTGGGGATGGGTACAGTGAAGAGGATCCTGGGAAGGGACCAAAGGTTAGACCAAGCCACAGCTCCTCCCCTCCCCCCTCCCGCTCTTCCACTAGGCTGTCTAACCTCCCTCCCTCCTGCTGCAACCCGAGTCCCGGGCGGCGGGCCGGCGTATCGGGTGACCGCGGCGACGTAGCCACCAGCCTCTTCTCTTCGGTGAGGCTGCGCCGGCGGGGCCGCGCCGCGGG